GACCAGGGGAGCGGGATCAGCAGGGGGAGCTGACCAGGGGAGCGGGACTGCCGTGGTGGGGGTTGGGGTGGAGGGACTGTCTAGGGTTCAGTTTATTAGTCAACTTTCAGGATCTTGAATGTCTGAAAAGGATCTTCCTTCTGGTTCCTCTTCTCTCCTAGAAAGAACTGAGGTATTGTAAGTTCCTCTCCAAACCACGTGCTAGAATGACTTTGAACTTTATTGTCATGTCTTCCTCATTGCAGGATTGAAATCCTGGAACTCCCTAACATACATTACATTATTCATTTGTGTGATAAGCAAAATGTCTTTCTGGCTTCACAGCAGCATCCTGTTAGTGTTGAACATTGCCCATGTCTTTGCTTCATAATAACAGCGCGATACAGCTAGCATTATTTGTCTTCAAGTATTTGAAATATCTTCACACTCCCAGAGTTACCTGAGGGTAGCCTTTACTCTTTTCAGGATTGAATGTGCCATCTTCAGGCCCATTCATGTGTTTTGCACGATACACAACAAGATGTGATCTGATCAGGGTAGCCATTGCCAGACAGGATAGCTCATCCTTGTGATTTGTAGTTTTGCTGAAGAAGAGTCATATCAGACTCAAACCATTAATTCTGTTTCTTCCTCCACAGATGCTGCTGGATTTCTCCAGTATGGATAGAGAATTGGTTTGCTAATAGGAAGCAGGGAATTGGTACAAATGGTTCATTTCCATATTGGCAGGGTGTGACAACTGGAATGCAACAAGGCTAATTGTTTAGATCTCAACTATTTATAATTTATATCAATGATCTGGTGAAGGAAACAAATGCATGTAAGTTAAAATGGCTGATGACACAAAGGTAGGTAGCGAAGTAAGTAGTGAAGGGGACATATAGTATTTTCAAAAGGGTATAGATAGGTTAAGTGAATGGACAAAAGGTTTCCACATAAAGTATAATATGGGGAAAATGTAAACTTGTCTGCATTGATAGGAGGAATAGAAAGGCAATATACTGTTTAAATGGACAGTAATTGCAGAACTCTGAAGTACAGAGGGTTCTGGGTGTCCTACTACACGAATCACAAAAAGTTAGCTTGCACATACAGCAGTTAACCAGGAAAGCAAAAGGAAGTTTTGCTACTGCAAAGCTATATAGAGTATTGGTGAGGCCAAATCTGGAGTACTGTGTACAGTTTTGGCCTCCTTATTTAAGAAAGGTTGTAAATGCATTAGAGGCAGGTCAGAGATTTATCATATGAGAAAATGTTGGAAAAGTTGGGTCTGCTTCAGAGTTGAAAAGAATAAGAGGTGATCTCATTGAGAAATATGTGAACCTGAGGGACTTGACATGTTGGATGCTGAAAGGATGTTTATTCTTGTGGGGGAGACTAAAACTGAGGGACACAGCTTTATATCAGGGGTACCCCATTTAAGATAACAAGGTGTAGAGCTGGATGAACACAGTAGGCCAAGCAGCATCAGAGGAGCAGGAAGGCTGAC